CCTATATGTACATTTTTATAGAGCAATATCTTTTACTATACAGCAGCAAACAATATTTCAATACTAACAAGAATATTGTTGACTGCGTACACTGATCTACGGTTACGCGAGAGGGTACATCGAATAATTGAATGTTCTGCCACCAGGTGGTGCCACAAGCCATTTTTGGAGATTTTTAATGAAGAAATTAAAATACAACTCCACTTCTCACGAGAAAAACAGGGTTGGTTTGAGTCACTATGAGGAACAATCTTTCCATTTGTGCAGTCATCTCATTTCATGTTCTGGGTAATTGTCAGTCACATTAAGTTCATATTTTCCCAGCATTATTACATCCTGTCCATGGCAGGTGGCAATGGACAGGGTTTCAGCGACAAGTGTAGTGGTTAATGTTTCCAATTTTTCTCCTTGCTGCTGCACAGGTGACAAGCCGTCTGTTAAGCCAACTCCGTGATACAAACAACAGTCATCCATTTGTGAAGGAATACCAGAGCAAAGAGCAGGAGTTTGACCGTCTGGCAAGGCAATATGCACCTGCTTAAAACATCGATGACATCCTGCTGTGATCGTCAAGTCTCCGTAATAAATTTTTCTTCCCCATCTTACTTCGAAAACAATGCACGCTGCATTTTTAGAGATTCGAGCGTTTTGACAGTTTACAATCCACAACTTTACTGAGAAGTTGATCGCATGTCCAAATATATATATTTTTTCTGGCAGGCATTCCAGTGAGTCTCCTTCAGCTATATTGCTCAAAGAGGGAAGTGTTGTTCGTTGCACAAAATATCATTGAGACATTTAAGGGGGCAGACTAGTCTTAGACATTTTTTGTTTATTTCTTCAGTGATAATCAAAATACACAGGATTATGCAGTTTTTCTATTGATTTCAAATATTTCATTAGTTTTCCTGTAACTCATCTTGTTCCTGAGATAAATTAAGTTCACCCTCTATTGTTTAAGACCATCATAGAAAAATGTACTTAATTAAAAGTGATATTTAAGATATGCCAACATAGACGAATGACTATAGAGTGAAAGTATGCTAGAGTTTTTTTTAGGCCTTTCTTGGTTATTTTACAGCAAAATGAATATTCATTTTCAAAAGCAGTTGCAACTATATTAGAATTTTGATGAGTAATTAATTAAAAAGACTTGTGCTCTAAATTCTGCTCCCATACTTGCATCCTACACACATACAGGTTTCCATTGCAAAAATAACTATTGTTGTACCTGCCCTAGCTGTAGAGATATTGTGGCCTCAAAATTGAACAGCCGTAAATTAACTTTTTTGAGAAAAAACGTAAAAAACTGGAAACACACAGCTTTTTCAAAAAGCAACAATCATGGTGCGCATGTTCTGCAATCCCCATAAAGGTGCTCATAAATTCATAGCAGAGCTTCTAACACATGTGCTGGCCAATTATAAAGAAGCCTCGAAGTCGGTTCCCCCCTTTTTTTGCAGATTCTGCATGTTAACAGCACCACGAATCTGGACAGTTAGAATGACATTACAAAAAAATTACCACTTCCTGGTGTGTGAAAATTTGCACAGAGATACAAAAATACTTGCAGAAACTAAATATGTCAATTTTAAAACGTGAATTTTTTGTCACTTTTTGTCCCAAAGACCAGTCTGCCCCCTTACGAAAATTATGCTTTTGCATATCCTGTATCCATATTGCTGAATCATATAACTCGGTGCAAGTTTTTTGATACACTTTTATTGTAGGGACACAAGTTCTGCCATGTAATTGCCACAGTTCCTGAAGAACCCTAAACAGCTTTGCTTGTATACTGTATGAAAAAGTTATTTCTAGTGCCAGTGTATTTCGGGGATATTTGGAGTGCCATTATCTCAAAATAAATGCTCGCTTTGGCATTTCTCCTACATGGACATGCTTTCAAGTCTTAACGCACTGCAGTTAATAAATCCTAAAATGTGCCCTAAAAGCTACCAGTCTGCCCATTATGCACATGCTGCACGAATGCAATGTTCACGTGGGGGGGGGGTAGGGGGCAGCAATAGTACTACGTACAGCATTGCACGCCTTTATTCACATTCTTGCAAAAAGTCAGTTTCTGGTGCATATCACCAAACATGTGTACTATAATTATGCCAATGGAAAGACTCGTCGAAGTCCACCTCAAGGTTTAGGAATCACAAACATAAAAAGCATAATGCATAGATATCTCAATGGCATTCGTGAACGATCATGTCTTCAAAGCATGAAACAGTCAAACATCACGAGAATAGTTTTAAAAATGCCGTGCTCCATTCCTTTCGAGTGAGAAAGCCGCACAGAAATGGTATGCGCAACACAGACTGTTTTCAACATCGCTGTTCATGACCAGCTAGGTTATCATCCTATGTGAAACATGCAGTTCTACCTCAGGAAATGCACCAAGAAAGGGAAACAAATGAAGGCAGGACACTTCTTGTAGATGTTCCGTGCTCTCTCAGCTGTGATGTACGACTTAAGGCAGGAAAGGAACTCCACGTGCAGACACTTGCCTGAATGAGGGGGCGGGAGTCTGCTTTGGCAGTGAAGCCCACCCACCGCCTGGCAGCTGGTTAATGGAACAGTTCAATTTCTTCCAAGTCCTCAGATAACAAACCGAATTGTAAGATTATTTCAGTAAAATACATACTAGACAGCATCATACAGCTGTCAGTGCAGGATCAAAATTGGTGACAGTGCATTGATGAGGGGCCCTTTAGACATATTGTTGATCTACCCTAGCATCGTATGTAAAAATGTGCATACCATTCAAGTGGCATCTTGTGCAACAATATTGCAACAGTGTGCACCCCAACATTTAACAGAGAATTCTACAGAACAACATGGAGCATGTTTCTGCACTAAAATTTTTCTCTAGTCTATGAGGAGCAGCTTTGCATGCTTTATTAGTCATTTTTCATTAATAACTGTAGTCTATGACAACCTAATAGAATGTAAAAGTTAGTACCACTGTCTGTATGTAAAATGTGTGTCCAATCACAGCTGCTCCTTTCTGTGATGTGAAGCTTGAGAACCAGTCAATAATGCAACATTGAGTCATTTGCCAGAAAGAGAGGCAAGGTGCTGGCGCACTGGCAGCCGCCATCCGGATCTTCTTGTCCGCTTCTTGCAAACCTTCCAATGTCTCGCGTACCGTTATTTGCCCTAGCCTCAGCGTCACTCTCTTAAGTCTTCATTCAATGCATTCGGAACTTGCGATTCTGCTGTTTTAGAAGTATAATGAAGCGGCAGGCGCTCGGAGTGTTTATCACGTTCCACCGTTTCGCCAGCAACAACTTTCAGAGTGAAATGTGCTTCTTGCATTGCTTGTATGCACCATGCATATCGCCCGAGGATCGCCACACCTGACAATCTTTTTGTGAACTGCTTGCTTGGCAGTGCAGAGACGTGTAAAAAAAAAAAGTGCAGAATGGTTTCATGGGCAGCACTTATTCTTGGGCTGCAACTGATAATAGCCTCATTACATTTTACTTTTTCTCTTCCATCAGTGCATAGATTTATTAATTTAATTAATGTTGGGGTTTAATGTCCCAAAACCATGATAGGATTATAAGAGACACTATAGTGGAAGGTTCTGGAAATTTTGACCGTCTCATGTTCTTTAATGCACATTGACATTGCACAGTACATAGGCTTCCACCGGAAATGCGGCCATCGCAGCCAGAATCGAACTTGCGACCTTGGAGTTAGCAGCCGAGCACCCTAGCCTAGTCACTGTTCCACCAAGGTGGACAGTGCATGGATTTGTGGAGAAGATCTAGACTGCATTTTGTCGCCCCAGCCACTGTGATCCAATACAAGTAGAAGGTTGCATTTTCTAGAGCTAAAGCAGAGCACCTGCATAGAGAGTTATATCGCTCCCTAAACAACTAAAAGAAATCAATGCAAATATTCTAAAGCAACCTGCAAATTGTAGCCTAGAAGCCAAAATATAATACCATAACTTTGCCATTTTCTTAAGGAAGCTAGACTGGCATTGTGTGGAATTGAAGTTTCATTTGTCAACTTGCACAAGCATGCACTTGTGTCATGCCATAACTGCCAGAAAAGCTACCCTACTCTACACAAGGCTTGATCCCATCCTTGTATGTTATACCCTCCTTCTTTCTTTCTTTCGATACCTTGACTTTCTGTAGTTGAGGGTCTCCCTGTATAACCATATACAGTACAACAGTGCAATGGGTCACAGTTTGGAGCTAGTAAATTTTGTCTGCACTTGGCAAGTTTCAAGTGTATATTTAAACAGCTTAAAGGGGCCCTTGCAAGACTTTTCCAAGTAACCATTGAATGATTTCATTAAAATAGCTTATTGCCTCATGAATCAACTGCTAAAATTTTTGGAATACATCAAGTATGAGCAGAGTTATGGGGATTCGTCGCAAGTTTTCAGTAATTTCTTTTTCATGCTAACGAGCAAGAAGGGGGTGACGGAGCAAGACAAGAAGCGGCTTTTCGTTGGTGCTTGTCATGACCTTGAGAACTTTATCTTCCTTTTTCGAAGTAAAAGCCCTGCGCAGGCACATGGCAGCATCCCCTGGCGACATTACGTACTATGCAGCTTACAATGTTCGAATCGGCAGCGGACTTTAGGTTTATGACACTATCATCAGGGTTATGGCACCACGTTTCGAGAGAAGAGGGACAATTTATAACAGACTTTAAGTATTAATGATAAATTTAAGGCCTCATGCTGCACTATAATGTTTGGCTTGCATGTTCCTGAAAGCCTGAACTACCAGTTTGCAGCGTCACCGTGCAGAAAAAGTGTTGCAGCACCCCATTAAGGTGGTTCAATTTTTTTTTTTTTTGAAGCTTCCTTTCATTAAGTTAAATCTAAATTATTTTGAATTGCACTCAACTCAGGCTAGTCTTGATGCAGCGATTGCCATAGCATGCTTTTACCACATTTCAAGATCATTGATCAGTTGCTCTTCTTTTTACAGCTTCAGCAGTGCAATTGCAAAGAAACTCATGTAAGATAAAAGCAAGCAAGAAACTTTATAAGTTGGTTTGTTTGACATGACTACATGTCTATGTAAATTATCAATCGATAAAAAACTAAATACACTGTACGTATCCAAATACTGAAGATGAACCACGGTGGCCTAAATAGAAAAAGAAAAAAACCACGGTGTCACACTGATGTAATTAATCTTGACAGGGGATTTACTGTGAATCTGTTTTGAAATTCAAAAATATGAAATGCTGGCCTTGTTCTACTTCACTATCACCATTATACATTTCTACAGACTGACTTTCACACAGCAAAAATAATTTGTCACTGCAAAAGTAATAATGATATAGTTAGCACATCATTCATCACTTTAAACGATGTATCACTCCTGTTCTGTGTTCCTTGAATGGGAAAAGGTCTTGGAGTGGAAACAAGACTCATGGGGAAAACAACAGGGCAGTAACTACGTATTTACAGAATGCAAAGATACCTTCATGGCTGCTTTTGTACCTATAACCTGGTATGCATAAGGTCCTTGCGGAAAAAAAAGTTGCTGCTTTTATTCTAATGCCGAAATTTTTCCTTATTGTTCTTATTAGGTGAATGTCAAGAGGCTGTCATGATAGAGCTCTGTGTAAAAGAACCCTGCTCTATAGTAGCTCCACCACAAGCCAGAAGTAGTGTTCTAGTCCACAACTTTAGGGCTTGCACACATTTCTTAGCATGGACAAAAAAAAAAACTGAATGCGAGACAGAAACACATACACAGTAGCAGATATTACACCCATCTGAATCATTGCTTTGACAGATAGCAGCATTTAGCTTGGGTATGAAAATGCATACAGTTTGCAGACACACAGTACCTACGTCGCCCATCTATCTCTTGTAACTGACATACTTTCACAGCGAGGCCCATTGCCAAGCTTTAATGTTCACAATCTCTAAATAAAGACAGACTAATGTTTGTTTTATACTACACATGTAAGTCATAGGTACTACAAACAGCATCAAATGAGCTAAATAGCAAGAGGAAATTATCTCCTCTTCGAATGTTTTAATTCATATGCATAATTAATATTTAAAACATCAGTGCTTATCAAGTTATCTTTTTGTGTCACACATGGGAGGGATTGATATGTATCGAACTTCAGACTATACAAAAATAATAATTTGTATGTGGTTTAGTTCTGTGAAACTCCCCATCAATGTAAGATGTTTTTGTTAACATAAAATATTATATGTAAGAAGGCTACACTTAGTAGCCACTGTTATTACTGTTTAAGACAAGCGAAGAAAAAGAAGTAAGCATTCATTAACTGCTAGCCAAGCACAGATTTAACTAAAATTTCACAGACAGAAAAATCCTCTCTGACTAAAATAAGCATGCAGGTAAATGCCCAAACTCAAAAGTAGAGTTGTGCAATTTGAACAAAACCTGCTGATACTACCTACTCTTCAAATTATTTGAAACGGTTGCGACGCTGATCACAATGGCAGTGAAATAAGCAGAGAAACAAGTTTCATACAAACTGTGTATATTTCGGCATTATCATACCTACACACTGGCTTTCACACAGCGTGGAACACCACTTATGCACCTAACTTAACCGTATCAGTAACACCTTTTTATCGCACCTGTTCCATTTTCCACACTGCAAAGCAATATGTATGTAAGCTCAGAGAAATTGCATGCATTGATAAGTGTTGCGTACAAAGGTGACATTTCAGCACAAAAGAATTATATTCCAGCACAGTCATACAGGTACCGATTAATTTACAGGAACAATAATGCGGCATATCACGCATGACGCACAACATTGGCAAAAGTGCTCACAGAAACATTGCATGCCACCAAGGCATGGTGAATACACAATCCTAGAGGACACACGCCTACAATCAATTGTGCATACACTAAGTAAACAGCGCGTAATGCCTGCTTACACGCTTTTCAAACTAAGCATGTCATCGCGAGTATCTAGTTGGCTGCCTTCATGGAACAAGGCCAGCTGGGATACGATGCACACATATTGCAAGTCGATACACTAAGTCGTGTAGTTAAAAAATAATCTTAATATCACGTGTGTAAAAGTGACAGAGACAATACAACAAAACCTAAAAACGACGCTCTTGCACAATCGTCTCACTTTCCAACTGCTGGCCCACACTGTTGCCAGCATTGCATCGTGGCTAAGAAGAAAAAAAAAGGACAATAGTCGAATTTGTTAAGTACGATATGTCAAAAAGTGCAGCGTTTGCATCCACAACGTCGTAACAATTGCCTCATGTAGTCTGGCACGCTATTATCTGTCTCCAGCTCCTCCCACACCATTTTCTTTGAGCGACTCCCACAAGAGGTGGACTCTCTTCAGATGCTCTTCTGCCCGCTGGCTGATGTTGAGTGCCGGCTCGAGTGGTGCAACCTTTTCGACACCCATGAGGGACAAACTTGCAATGCCCATGTAAGCGTGCATTGGATCTGCGCAGCACAATGTTGTCATCACTCTAGTGTCCCTACTTGCCATAGCAGAAATAAAAACGCCATAAGGAATACAACAGACAGAACAGCCTGAAAAGTACAGTGGCAGCACCTAGGCCTATCCCTTCCTAGTCTCCCCATCTGTGCTCCTTATGCTACAACTTGCCCAATCTATCAACTTCCACAACGAACATAGAAATGCAAAACTGTTAGCTATGGTCACATACCAGGATCGCTGTCAGGCCACTTGCTGAAACCACCAGTGATAGGATCTTGTGTCGAATAGAGAAATTCTAGGTTCTTCTCATGGTTCACAAACTTGAATGCACCCAAAAGCTGTAAACAGGGCAACAACGAAAAGAATGGAAAAAAACTCTGGTCCAGTTCCATGAAAATCTATGCCTATGTACATTGTGATTTGCAAGTGGGCATGGCTAGAGTTAAAATTGCACAGTTTAGCTTGATGTAGACTTCCAGCACTTGCGTTGCTTGAACATGCATCCCTAAAGCTCGGCACAGGTGCTGTTTTTGCTTAGTGTCCCATGAAATATGCATATCATGGCTGAAAATTGTTATGAATAAGCACACACAAAAGTTGTAAACATCAAAGCAGCACACACACCTTCAGGGCAGCGCCCACCCAGAAAGAGTAGCATGTGTCAATGGGTTTGTTTGGGCGACCCTGGAATCCCGACGACTGCCGGTCCAGACACCACCGCTGCAGGCCGCGTAGCTGGCGCTCACTCAGTGCTGACTGCAGCTGCCCCATAAGGACGAGCGAGGCCACCGCACAGTACGTCGACCCCCCTGCATGACCATACACACACGTGCATCGCCTCTGCTGCTGCGTCAGTTATTGTCACACATGAAATGGCACAACACATCCGTATTAGCTAGCTGCGGCATGCTAAAGTCAATACCAGTGAGCAACACCTCTGCATGAATAGTGCGTTAGAAACAGCACACACCCTTTTCACAAGATGGCTATGCAGTACACAATACATCGATCACAGATTAAACGAGATCAAAGTTATTATGATATCTGAACAACTCTCTCTAACATTATTGGTAACGTACCTGTGTTTTGTAGCATTACTAGACTCTTAGTAAATGGAACTCCTGTTAAATGGAACACATTTATGGTCCCTTGAGGTTCCATTTAATGAGAGTCTACTGCATTTGAAATTCTCACTCACTGCAAATCTTTTTGTTGATAGCAACTGCTGTACTGAAGGCTTTTCAAGTAGTAACAACAAATTGAGGCAAATGTAATCACTCACCATGTGATTCCGTTCCTGGATATGGTGAGATCCCTCCATCATATCCCTACAAAATGTAATTACATGGAGATCATTGCAGATGTACTGAATACATGAGTAAAACAGTTTAACAATGTGAGCCAGTAGAAACCTATTCACCAGTCACTTGAATTTGTAGTGAACCGAAAATGTGTTTGTCTATGCATGTGTGCACATGTACGTATATACAATCTCGTGCAATGAAAATCAAGAATATGCATTACTGCAAACACAGAAACTGCTTAACTGTACTTTTAAATTAGGCTTTCATTCTATAATATCTCAAGAACTCTATATATCGCCCTACTTAGCAAATGAGGTTACACGCAGAACAGTAGGCTCTCGTTAAACAGCACCTGATGGGACCAGAAAAATATGTTCCATTTATTGGGTGTTCTGTTTACTGAGAGATCAACAGGGTTGCAGACTTTGAGCATGAAACCTACTATATATTAGAAGCATTTTGTTCCTTTTAAGCAGCTGTTCAATTTAAGAGATTGCCATTTACTGAGACTTTTGACATTCATTTAATGAATGTGTAAAGCACCATTCACTTCCTGTAAAGAGAAACCAACGGGTTATAAATTGCTGTTCTTATCTCCTGAACGAGCTAAGTGAACATAGCTTTATGTACTCAATGAGTACTAGGAGAACACATATTGTAAGTTAAACAGTGTGGTTAACTTTTCGTTCATATGGAAACATAAGATTTTTCTGGCTAAGCACGTAATCCGCATTACGGCTATAACCAGAGGAAAAGGAAGATAAGCTGAAGTATTCACTCACATAGCAGGCCTGAATGAAGCTCACAGCTTTTTCTTTGTCAAATCCAGACCAGTCATGCAGCAAACTGCATATTGCCGCTGCACAATATACAAAACGCATATCGTCCTCACTTCCATGGATGAGAGCCATAAAGCTGAAAGAGAGAAAATGTTAAAGAAAAAAGAAGGGAAAGGAAAAGCTAAATACAGAAGAAATCGGGCAGAAACTTCGGGAGGATGACTGTCGCATTCAAGCAACAGCTTCCCATTAGACCTGCTGGAATATGCTGCCGGGGTTGCTTATTGCTTGATGTAACATAAGGCGTGTGTGTGCTATAATTTTGGTTGTTTCATTGCCCTCAATATCAGCGTGTGCAACAAATTACAATAAAACTCTACTGAGGATACACGATTGCAAAGTGAATATTATCAGGTTCCACCTGCCATGATATCACCACCTCTGATTACGTTAACCAGTTTAGCTAGCCAAACAGTCTATGCAAAGCTGGAGAAAGAGCACTGGAGGTCTTTGCTTTCATGAAAAAAACCTGAGACTTTTCGGGAAGCTTGATAGCCATAGTATATCAATATATAACAATGGCTCAAGCTTACGAAGTAAATTCTAGCTGCTAAGAAGTGTCGTGCTTGTAATGAAACAGTTCAAAACACACCATGGTGGCATAAAAAACATTTGGTCTCACATCCTACTAATGAACTGCCACATTTATAGGCCTGCAGTTGGGGTGAAAAATAAGTAAGCCATGGAGAGTAAGAACATGGGAACACGTGTCAGACCTACCTTCCAGACTCTTGTTGGAGTGCTTTTAGACCCTGCATGATGGCTTGCCTGTCCACTCTGCTCAAGTCATCCCCGAGAATAATGAGGGTTGCCAAGGCAGTGTATGTCATGGCAATGTGGCCACAGTTAAAACTGCTTGCAGAATCATCCTGTAAGTGAACACAGCAGTTCGTTGTCTCTCGATAATTCGAGCATTCAGATGCTTGATGTGAAGTGTTAATTAAACAGACTTGCACTCGTAAAAAATTTCCTGAGGATGTTGTATCAAAATAGAGCTGCAACAACTGCTGAAATATTTTTACAATGTTTTTTGTATTATTTGAGCATGAGCAGCGTGCTGCACGTTTCGATCTGCTTGCCATTTTCAGCATTACATTCCAAGTTGCTATCGCATTCATTGTTTCGCCCTTGCGGCGAAACTGTGACTTCGTTTTTTCAATGTTTTTCAACACTTACACAATAGAAATTGTGTAAAAAACATTATTTGCTTAATGTATTACTGCTTTGTATCCTGAAGCAAACATTAAAACATAAGAGCTAGAATCAGAAATATTGATGTTAAGTTAGCATGATGATTATCTCCACTAACTTATTTATTTGCATAATGGTCACTAACAATCAATCGCACTTCCTGAATACACTAAATAGAGTGTTATATATTCAATAAGTAAGCAATATTTTCTGCTCAGCTTGAATTGCATTATTCATTAAAGAGTATTGTTGTTTACGCTAAGGTTGGTTTCCTCACTAAGAGCCGAGTACCTGTTCTGCAGCGACACTCTGAATTCCTGTACTTTCCCTCTCAGTGCTAGCTGATTGATTGGCTTCTTGCATATCAGTTTCTGTCGTTCCTTCTTCAAGTCTACGCGAATTCGAGACCGTACTATTCTATGGTCACTGCATCGTACCTTGCCAATCACTTCCACATCCTGCACGATTCCTGGGTGTGCACTCATTATAAAGTCTATTTCGTTCTTATTTTCGCCATTAGGGCTCCTCCATGTCCACTTGCGGTTTTCTCGTTTTCGGTAGAAGGTATTCAAAATCCGTAAATTATTGCGTTCTGCGAATTCTACTAGTAGCTCTCCTCTGGCGTTTCTAGTACCAATGCCATAATCTCCTACTGCCTGGTCTCTTGTGTACAATGAATGATAATCTGACGAGTATCATTACGGAGTGTGCAGTGGAAGTTGGAGGCAGGGTAGTTAGACAGGACACTGGCAAGCTTTCCCAGGAAACGAAGAACCTAATTAAGAAGCGTCAAATCATGAAAGTGTCAAGTACAACAGACAAAATAGAACTGGCAGAGCTTTCGAAGTTGATTAATAGACGTAAGGTATGCGATGTAAGAAGGTATAACATGGAGAGAATTGAACACGCTCTGAAAAACGGAGGAAGTGTCAAAGCATTGAAGAGGAAACTTGGGATAGGCAAAAGTCGGATGTATGCACTAAGGGACAAAGAAGGCAAAATAACTACCAATATGGACAAGATAGTTAAAATAGCGGAGGAGTTTTACAGAGATCTGTACAGTAGCCGAGATAACCACGACATTAATACTATAAGAACTAGCAGTAACCCAGATTACACCCCACCAGTAATAATAGAAGAAGTCAGAAAAGCTTTGCAGAGCATGCAAAGGGGCAAAGCTGCTGGTGAGGATCAGGTAACATCAGATCTGCTGAAAGATGGAGGACAGATTGTGTTAGAAAAACTAGCCGCCCTGTTTACGAGGTGTCTCCTGACGGGAAGAGTACCAGAGTCTTGGAAGAACGCTAACATCATCTTAATACATAAGAAAGGAGATGACAAGGACTTGAAGAATTACAGGCCGATCAGCTTGCTCTCTGTAGTATACAAGCTATTTACAAAGTTAATTGCTAACAGAGTAAAGAAAACATTAGAATTCAATCAACCAAAGGAACAAGCAGGATTTCGAACAGGCTACTCAACAATTGACCACATTCATACTATCAATCAGGTTATAGAGAAATGCTCAGAGTATAACCAACCACTATACATAGCCTTCATAGATTACGAGAAGGCGTTTGATTCAGTAGAAATATCAGCCGTCATGCAAACACTGCGGAATCAGGGCGTAGATGAAGTATATATAAACATTCTGGAAGAAATCTACAGGGGATCAACTGCTACCATAGTGCTTCATAAAGAAAGCAACAGAATACCAATCAAGAAGGGTGTAAGGCAGGGGGACACAATTTCCCCAATGCTATTTACCGCGTGCTTACAGGAGGTTTTCAGAAGCCTAGAATGGGAACAGTTAGGGATAAGAGTCAATGGAGAATACCTTAGTAACCTGCGCTTTGCCGATGACATTGCATTGCTGAGTAACTCGGGGGACGAATTGCAACTCATGATTACGGAGTTAGACAAGGAGAGCAGAAAGGTGGGTCTTAAAATTAATCTGCAGAAAACGAAAGTAATGTACAACAACCTCGGCAAGGAGCAGCGCTTCCAGATAGGTAATAGTGCACTTGAAGTTGTAAAAGACTATGTCTACTTAGGGCAGGTAATAACCGCAGAGCCGAACCACGAGATTGAAGTAACTAGAAGAATAAGAATGGGGTGGAGCACATTCGGCAAGCACTCTCAAATTATGACAGGTAGATTGCCACTATCCCTCAAGAGGAAGGTATATAACAGCTGTATCTTGCCGGTACTTAGCTACGGAGCAGAAACCTGGAGACTTACAAAGAGGGTTCAGCTTAAATTGAGGACGACGCAGCGAGCAATGGAAAGAAAAATGGTAGGTGTAACCTTAAGAGACAAGAAGAGAGCAGAGTGGATTAGGGAACAAACGGGGGTTAAGGATATCATAGCTGAAATCAAGAAGAAGAAATGGACATGGGCAGGGCATGTAGCGCGTAGACAGGATAACCGCTGGTCATTAAGGGTAACTGACTGGATTCCCAGAGAAGGGAGGCGGGTTAGGGGGAGACAGAAGGTTAGGTGGGCAGATGAGATTAAGAAGTTTGCGGGTATAAATTGGCAGCAGCAAGCACAGGACCGGGTTAACTGGCGGAACATGGGAGAGGCCTTTGTCCTGCAGTGGACGTAGTCAGGCTGATGATGATGATGATGATGATGATTGTTGTTTACCAACAGCATAATATCCGATCACTTCAGTGTTCCCCACAACTCCGCAGCAGAGCATTTTAATGCATCTGTGCATAGCAAGGCAAGATATTGCAGGTTCCATTAATTTTGTTATGCTAGCAACTTGCACACTTCAACAGTGCCACTGAAGATGAGAAACAGCTACACAGTGCCGGAAAAAGGAAAGTTAATTCAGCTTACCAAATCATTTCCTTTGAAGCCAGTGGCATGAGATCCTTTGAAGCCACAGCGATCAAGGTTACTCCCTGGAGTAGCAAAATGAGAAAACAGTAATAATTAAATGTTACCAAAAAAAAGAGAGAAGCATTCTAAACATTAGTGCATATATTTATTCAACTTCAAAGCTTTGATCCTAAGAAAGCCACATGGGCTTACTGGCTATCTTCAGGTTTATCTCATGTAGATTGCAACTGTTCCCTCTTTGAAGCACTTAATGTTCCAAGCATGTGCATCCCCTAGCCATGCAACAGCAGACGACGCGGCCTATGCACGCTTGCGTTTATGACGGTCTAGAAACCGTCCACATTGCATTGGATTATGCGTATACGTTAAGAAGTGCGCACACACCAAATTTTTAACACAAGCACTGTATGCAGAATGCAATGTGAGCTTTGTTATTTGATTTCGCGCTCAAAGCTTGAGCACTTTCGAGACAATGGTTTGACATGAAAATCTTTTGCCAAGTCGTGTTTGTCAGTCACACTCGTCGCGAAGTTCAGAAAAAGTGGGCGGAGAAACTTCACGAGCACAACCTCCAAAAGTTTTTTATGATGTCCCGGGGTCGAGCACTTGAGTTTGTCACGTTTCTGTAGTATTTGCGCGGCGTTGTCAGCGGCAGCCTTCAGTGGCTGATTCATCTTTCTCGCTCTTGCGAGGAAAACTTCCGCGTAATTCTTTAGAGAATTTAGAACCATTACGAGCTCAGTTGACGGATACAGGAGTACACCTGGGTGGATATCTCCACATTCAATCAGAACATGCTCCGCCGTTTCCTTATCTTTCCCGCAGCATGTGCATTGTTCTTCTTCTTTACTGAATCTTGCTTTATAACTACGCGTTCTAAGGCAACCCGATCTCGCTTCAAACAGTAAAGCGCTTCCCCTTGAATTATCGTAAAATGCCTCCCTCCTTATTTCATTTTTGCCCTTTCGGTAGTTACTCAAAGCCGGTTTTTTCTCCATAGCTGCCATCCATTCTCTCGTTTTGCGCCTCGGCGCTCCGCCAGGAGCGCTCGCATCCCATAATAGCTCGGGGGACGGCGCTGAGGGACCGACCGCTCGGGCACAAAGTTATAGAGGAGGCTATGCCCTAGCACTGCACTAATCAGCATAGCAGAAGCAGCCAAACATCACATGGCAAATTCAGTTAAGGCTATGTGAACATGTGCATGTTTTGATCGAGTTACCAAATCACAACGAACGTCACTTTAGTGTAACCTGTTACTGCATACATGTAAGGCTTTTTTCACTTTATTTTCTAATCCGATCAAAGCCGATCAAACCCGATCAAAGCCGCAAGAAGTCAATATTGGAAAGGCATTGATACCTTAATAATATATTGATACAAACCAGCTAGTAGAACGTGTTGAACGGTATTCAGAACTCCTGCTAAGCTAAGCTTTCATGATTTCCGTGGCTTTAAGTTGCACACATGTCACTTACGATGCAGTGCAAACCATCCCACAGAAGTGAAATTATTGTAAAATGAATATTAACTGCGTCCTAATTAAACTTTATTTGCTTGTTGAATACACACTATCAATCATGTGCTTGAAATAATGTATGAGACCACATACGGTACGAGAAAAATTAATGAAACGTTAGTGGTGTCACGCCAAGTATTTTAGCACGTGTTAAGTCGAGTAATCATGAACTTCAACACGCGATCACAAAACGATGACGCTATAAAAGGACTAATAAACTTACGATCTTTATTAGGCAAGACCTGATGTGAGTATATCCATTGAACAATGTCTTCTTTGTTTTCGATTGTATCCAGAGCGTTGAGCAGGTCCAGCCCAGAAACTGCGAAATATGCTACAGTCATTCTGAAACGAGAGGAACGCAGTGCATTATGAATAACACAAATTTGACGATATTCCGTATCCGTTGGGCTTCTATTCGTACCGTTGAAAGTGGCTCCAATCATAACACGAGAAATGTGATCGTGAAGTGATAGAGTAAACTCTATAAACAATCGAGTCAATTTTTGTGGTGTACTGGCAGCAAAAATATCGCCCTGCTGGCCCGCTTGATCACTTTCGCGTACCTCATTTCGTCCAACGATGACATAGCGCTGGGAAGTACATTGAGACATCTCTGGAAAAACTTGACGTGTTGATTCCTGAGGAAAACCATCGTTGCAAGTGTGAACCACCAAACAGAGCGCCTAATATCGCGAACAAGTGGACCGACTAACAAATAACCGCATAGCAATCGTTGCTAGCAGACCACACGGAAACCAACACCTAAAAACACGCGTTCTCTGCCCAAGTTTGTGCGGTTTGTGATTGCTGAAGATGGTGCTGCCATCTAGATTGTTTTGATAATTAAAACGCACAGCTAAATCATATTAATGTTTCGCACTTTAAGGACACGTACATCTTTGTCAGATGCATTATTCAACGACTTCAATCTTATATTTTCGCTTTTTTTCTTTAGTGGCTGTAAAAGGTTAATCAATCTGCAGATGACGAATTATGGCTGGCGCGAACTAGCAATGGCGGCCGTCAGCGCCAGTAGTATGTTAGAGTTCGTTCGCCGTATTTTTCGCGAACGTCAAGACCATGGGTACGAACAACATCTACATTGTCGCTTCCGACACTGGCCGATGTGTCCGGCAAACGATCCTTTCAATTTTACCTGCGTGCCGCCTAGATTTCCGCTCGCGAAACTCGAAATCATATTCCTTGCTGCTCTGTTGTACTCATTGAGAGGGGTAACTTATGATGCTAAACAAATTTGCGACGTGATCGCTCTCAATTTCGATAGCTTTCGGCTGACATGTAAGCGTGTCTTTTTCATTGTTTGACTACCGTTTTCCGATCTGTGAACTGTTGCTGGTTTTATTCTAGCTCCGAGAGTCACTACGTCGTCAAACCATTCGTGCTCTACTTTCAAAGGAAACTAGCTTTCCGCACTACGTAGGCGAGCACGATGCGTCTTGACGTATATTTCGGTCCCTGCCGTTTATATCTGACCTGCATCTCCGATATGCCTTTGCAAACCACCAAGTTGCAATTATCTGCTACTACAAATTTGATTGTATTGCGTGAAAGCGAGCCACGTATGCTTGGGAAGTAATCGCGATGAAGCGGTAGGAAAAATAACAAAACAGCGTGCATTGTGTTAATGCTCATCAAGCGAAGCTGACGTCTTGTATTCCGTGTGTGTCGTGAGTAGAGTACTTCCACATGTTTGTATTTTGAGTGCGCCTGTTGCGTGTGCGTGTATAACCCGGAACTGGTGTTTTCGACAGCCGCCGAATTCGTTTACTAGCTTCAGTTCTGGTGACGTCGGAAGAGTTTTTGCGTGGACGACTTGTGCTGTGCGTTTTTCCGCCTGGTTAATCGGTTGAAAACTTGCAGCGATATTTATTGCGTCCAGACTGTTGCACCAAACGGTGTCCCGTTCGGAACCGCGACCTTTCTCGGTGTAGTATGTGCGTACTTCGCGATTTTGTCGCTGTTTCTACTCACTAAGCTCCGTTGATTCATTTTCATTTACGCAGCATGCTCACCATCAGGCAGCTCCGGACGCTATACACTGACGAGCTCAAGGTGAAACACCTGTCGTCTGAAAACCGGGAAGTTTTTGCATCAATAGTCACAACTGTGTTTAAGGAGTTTGAAGACTTGACAGACTGCAGAGAGAAGTCATCGCAGGTAAATAACGTCATTTTCCAATATGCATGCCCCATAAGATGTTATCCTTGCTGCGTAAAAGCACTAAAAAAGTACTACAGTTCTAAGAGTGCATCGTTTGCTAACTGAGCATTCTCTTACTTCCCTGTATAATCATATTGCTAGGAACAAAACATTTGTCACCATTCTGATACATTGAGCAGTAGTCATTGCAATGTCAGCTTGACATTGTCTGTAAGCAACTTAGTTTGTTTTGATGTGTGGGACACCTGCAAAAGTGTATGTCATGACAAGCTGCTATAGAGCATTGAGTAAAGCTACAACATGGGCTAGTTGGTGTTTGTCATCTTTAAAGGTGCACCAAGTGAATACAGATACTGCACAGAATAAAAAAAATAAACATACAATATTGAACACACTCAACATCATACCTCCTGTATTTTTTTAGTTCTGCGCACTTTGTTCACTTAGTGCACCTTTAAGGATGAAATTTAGTATTTAGTAAACCCTTTTTGTGGTTAACTTTAATAACGTTATTTTGCTGCATGTTTTTCATTTGTTCAGGATGTTAAGTCGAGTATCAACGAGACCCCAGCAGAAGCAGGGCCTATCAGCCCTCTGCGCACAATACTGCCTCAAAACGGTAACTGCTTTGTGGACTTCGAATCATCTATCAAGTGCCCCAATGCCAAGAATGTTCAGCGGGTGATTGACTCGAGCAGTGACTCTGATGATGACGATGTGATTCGGGCCGTGAAGGAGACGCTAGGTGTGCAGACACGTCGGCGAACTCAGCCGAAACTGGCTCCCGTGCCTAGTGTTTCTGTGCCTAGTGCTGTCGTTGCCGCTTTCAACTGCACATCATCAATAACAGGTGCCAATGCATCAATAGCCATTTCATCAGATTCATCGCACATTTCCCCAAAGGTTCCTTCTCCAAGTGCTTCCCCAGCTACTTCATCAAGTTTGTCTTCCAACTGCATACCAAGTGTAATATCTGACAGCTCGCCCAAGGATTTGCCTCATGACGAATCCCTCAATGCTTCCTCCAGTGCATCCGCCAGTGCAGTGTGTAGTGCCATTCCGACTGTGGTGATCCCTGTGGTTTCGGTGGACAAGGCCGAAGCGCCATGCGGAGGAGATGCGTCAGACTCCTCGGACTCGGAAGGAAAGTTGATGATTGCCGAGTCCCCCATGTCTGCGGAGTCTCCGCGGAGGCCTTCGTCTGATGGTGAAGGCAGTGCCAGGGTTGGAGAACATGCAACTGTTGAACCCAGGAGGCCTTCCCTCCCTGGAAGTAAGAAAACAAAAACTGCTGCCAGCAGTCCGAATGAAGGTTTGTAGACATTCTGTGTTTCTTGCAGTCAGTCATTGCTGGTTCTTATAACCTTCATGGCTATGTCGTGGCTACATCTCTACCAACAAATCGGCCAAGAAATTGCCTGAGCAGTAAAGAAATAGTTGCTTACATCAAGGCTACCAAGATAACTTCCTACCCTGCCACTGGCCTTGTGTCTGTTCAGAAAGAGGCCTACACTTGTCAGAGTGCCCTTACACAAAAAAAGAGGTTGGGGTTTGATATTAGATTCTCTAAAGGGACACTGGAGAGCAAAACACTTTCTCACACATCAGTAAAGTACAATTTCACAATCCCGAAAACGCCACTCTTATCACAGCAGGACACTTGGGTAAGTGAGGAAACGCTCGAAAAAAAAACTGTGGGTGGAAATGCCACCTTAAATTCTCGCACCAGACACTGTTATGTCATAAATTTTGAAGGCGCTTACTGGGCCCTAAATTTCTTCTAATCAATAAAATTTAAGTACATTGTCATCGGTGGGCGCCATAGACTTAGCATACGAAGTTTCAGAAAATTTTCATCGAGCCAATGTTGTGAAAATATGAAAAATACCTTGTAGAATTTTTTTACATCACACATGGGAATTACAGTGCGAAATTTAGAAATGAAACTTTGACCTTAATTTTTCTCCATTAATAATGAACTTATGGCAGTGAAACTTAAGACATTATAGTTCTCAGAGTGCAGTTTATCAATCTAAAACAACTCATTGTTTCTCTTTAGTGTCTCTTTAAACAATGCATTATGTACATGCTGAAGCCATATTGAGGACAATAAATACATTAAGCTGTTCAATTTATACTGTACAGCAACACTTTTTTGTTCAGAAACAGTACAGAATAGTGGCATCATATGCTTAGATGAGAAATTTCCATTTGATATCGACCAATTCAAAGGGCAGTAATTCTTTCTGAAGTTTTCACCCAACCAGCCACAATAACTATATTAGATAACTTTCTTACTTTCATCCCCATATGTCAGCGCTTGGTAGGATCTCTATTCCATTTTACTGTTTTAGTTGTCTTGGCTGCTTGTAGATGTCGTAGAAGCAAGATATCACATTGCACTGTTGTTGCTCACATATTCATGCACATAAAGTCTGTTCACTTTGTTGGCATCGCTCTAAACTGGCCTAGGATGGGGTGCGAGATAACTAGAAATCAATTACGAGGTGCTGACATGGTGCAGCCCCTAGTTTCAGCCACTTAATGTGCATCATTCATGTAAGTTTGAAAGGTTGCGAACCACATGTATGGTTGGTTTCTGAAGCACGAACGCATCCCTTGTCACATAGAGAACAGCATATGTACGCAAGTGAAGTTCAAACAGGGCATGCTTGTGTACGTCATTGTTTGCTATGCTGCTGCTGTGCGTTTGCATCAAACTGGTGCAATCACTAGAGATGGCACAGAAAAATTATCAAATAGTCCTGCATTGAAACGAATGTTGGGGTTCAGAGGATGCAGTTCGTTACTGCCATACTCCGGAAATGAAAGCAAGGGGCAAAGCCTCGTGAGCTGGTTGCAGACAAATCAAATAGACGCATAATTAAGAGTGCGGGAGTGCCCAGGTTTACAAGTCTTTTTTGGACATTGGGCTGTGGCAAGTTTAGCGCACACTTCTGTACTTAATATTTATTCAAAGGCATAATTTTCTAAATATTTTGGGCATTGTCAATCTTCTGAATATATCATGAAATGGCATGTTTACAAAAACCAATAGCGTCTACGTGTATACAATTCATAGTGAAATAGTCACTGTGCCGAAGGGCATTATCTGATGAAGTGCTTGTATTTAAAGAGGTGCTGCAACACTTTTCCAAGTAGCCATATAATGGATTCACTACAGGAGCTTATTGCCTCACCAACTGGCCACTGCAATAATTTTTAGAATATGTTAAGTACGAGTGAAGTTACGAGGATTTTTGCACGCTGCAATTGCTTTCTCTATTCTTTCGTCCCGACAAAAGTGCTGGAAGGCAAGCAGGAAAAGCTGACATGCTGGAAGGAGGTACATCACATGCGCTTCGTGACCTTGAGCACTTTTAAAGAGGTAGTCTTTCTTAAAAACCTTCGACACAAATATTTCTGTCGGTCTGTACATTTGTCTGTTTGTCCACTCCTAACGGTACCGGCTGCACTGAACGGCACCAGCCAATACCCCAAATGGCCGACCCCATCCGCATCGCCCATTGCTCAAGATTCAGCGTTCATACTTGTGCAATTGTCAATTAAAAAGCAATTATTGCGCATATCTGAGGCACCATAACAACACGTATATATCCTGTATGGGCCTCTTTTACTAGAAAAGGCATACATAAGTAATTTCAAGGACTGTAGCGTTTATCACGCTGCGCTGACCATGCAATGCTTGCACGAAAAGGCGAGTGTTTCCAACGCTTTGCTAAGACAACACGGTGGTGGTACCTACCCGTCGCCTTGTGTTCTACACCCTATCACCTCTGAGACGGACGCGCACGCCTGTCTCAGAGCTGCGTGCTTCATTTTCCAAGAGAACTCAGATAGCGCTCATGTCTCACGTGTGACGTGACTTGATGTGCTCGCTCGCCTCGGCTGCACGCTCGAGGCACTCTAACGCAGCGCATTCAGAATACCAATCATCGATTTTCTTGTGCAGAACATCAAATAAATGTTTTGTTCACTCCCTCTACACGCAAGACTATCGTCTTTCGACAACATTTGCAGATTAACATGCAGATACGGGGCCAATTTTTTTTCTTTCTGTTTCTTCGAATGCACTCTTTAGTATGAGCATGCATGCATGTGTGTGTACGTCGCAGCCTTCCGCAGCGGTCCCAGTAACTTCTGAGCGTACCATACTCATATAAACCAATAGCATGGTACGTGGGCCCATCATGCGATGATTTTTTAGTATATAGCATCATTTGTTGAGAAAGAAAAGTAAGCGATTTTTAGCGGACTTTGAGAATTTATTGTAAATTCTAGGCCACATGCTATGCCGTAACATTCAGCTCACGTGTTCTCCGTAGCCTCAGCTACCAATCGGCCACGTTTTTAACCATGTTGCAGTGTCCCGTTAAAGTGTGGCGACAAAGGATGATATTCATAGCCATTATAGTTGGAACAGCAGATGAAGACGTGGTAGGCTTGGCATATAGTCATTATATACCAAGACATGAGACCTGTGAACTAGGCCTTCATCAAATCACTAAGTGCAAGTAGCATCGATATGTTTGTTTATGTTTTTACAATAAGAGTGCAATTAATGTCCTGTGCATAATGTTACCAAAAGAAACCCTTAAAGCAGTGTGCTTGTATAGCAAATGCTTTTATGTCAGGAGCTCTTTAAAGGATCAGACAACTGAAAATCGCTGCAGATAATGAGAAGCATTGTGTTGATGCAGCTTAACTTAGCTGTATTGTCATGAGCTCTTCATTCACAATGCATAGGTACATCTTGTATTAATAAATTATGGGCGCTAAAATTATTGCTGTAAAGGAGAGCTTAGTAACACACGGATGTTGGACTTTTCTTTTTGTTTTTGCCTATCTGGTTAAATGAGCCTAACACGATGTGTTGCTTTCTACATGTTTAATTTGGACATTTCATTATGTACCGTACTCAGTGCATCTTAAGTATGTTGGCCTTTTTACCTTGCTTTTTTGCTAGCCATGAAGCTGTGCTTTCGTGTAGTGAACCTACTTTCTCCTTTCTCGTGTGCATTTGATTTGTTTTCTTCTACTGTCATTTATTGCATTTTCCTACAATTGCAGGTATCGCCATAGTAGAGCTTGTTAATTAACTGATTGCTTGTATTCATTGTATATGGTCAGATATGTGTGGAGTTCGTTTTCGCAGTGTTTCACCTGTTTGCCAGTATTGTAAAGAGTCATCATTGAGATGGTGAGGTTTGTACACAAAACCCAGTAGCACTAGTAATGGCAATACCAAAAGTTCAGCATGTGAAAGAGTGACAAATATATTGGCGGCACATTTTCAGATGGACTGACCACCTTCTCGTGGCATCACAAATAATAATGGTGATGTCTGACACACATTAACAGACTCACTCTCCTTTGTGTGATTAGTTGACTAGAGAAATCCTGCAATCACCAGCTCTTGTGGTGTCTATAGGTTTTCAATGTTGCAACATGGTCATATGGGGGCTCCTGATGAAGATCAGTGCGAAAGGCTGCCCCAAAAGTTACCACTTCTTTGAAAACATATTCTATTGAGTGTTCAGTGCTATCTCTTTCTACTGCTATGTAAACTATGAAATAAAAACATTACTATGAGCTAAAAAATTATTTGTTTTCTAACACATCATCTTTTTACTTCAAACGAAGGGTAAAGATATTCCAGAAGCAGCTGACCTGACCCTAGCTTATGCCTCTATGTTTTTTTCAGACAGCTCAACTTCTGCCTTTTTTAAGAGTGGAGTTCATCTGAGTGTTTTATTGTGCCAGGAACAAGAATTATCAATCACCATTAACCAGTATGCGCTCACTGTAATCTCTGCAACTTCTGCTTTGCTCCCACAACCCATTGCATGGCTTTTTTTTTTCTTTTCCTTTCCTTGCTATAAAGGAGCACTGACATGATTGTGAGAAATAAAAAAAGGGACATAATTTGTTTCCTTGGTATATAGTGGGAACGGTCGCCCCACGCTGGGTTCAGTAAACATATATAAACAAATTTTACTTTGCTTTTAAAGTTTTTGTCTCCAAATGTCTGCTAGCCAGTCCCACCGCAATGCACATTATTCCGACGAGTCAACACAGTTCCACTGACATTGCAAAATCTGCATTTCTGCATGCAGCCTTAATTGCAGAAATATGATAGGGTTACCGGATGACAAAGTCGCTCATCATTGTTTACGTGCATCACAAGCAGATATGACAGATCTGCCGCTGGTATTCCTGCTGGTTACCTGTCTGCCCAGCTGCCTTTCCAATGATGAAACAGAAGGGAGTTTTTTACGGCAGCGTTCATTGGCCAATAGCCAAGCCTGGCGATAGTTAACACTGCCTAGCAAATACTTAGAATCTCTAGTAGAAGCTCTGTATTAGTAGCAAAACCTAGCCATGTCGTATGCTGGCTCCTCTGAAAGTTCCAGTCTTGTGCCACTAGTGCAGACTGCTCACTTTTCTTCTTCTTCAGTTTTGTATAACTGTCATTACTAATCGGAGTAGACAATTGGCAAGTTGGTGTTTCATGGTCCTGGTATGCTGTGCCATCACTAATTGCAGGGCAGTGCATGATTCCTCTTTGACATTATCTGGTTTTTATTAGCAAGAGCCCTTTCTGCTGGCTGGAACTAAGATAGATTTCTTTCATGTTACAATACACTAATCAGTGCACCTGCAGAGAATGTGACACATGTGGTGACAAGTTAGGTCTTGTTTGAATTCCTCATGCTTGCACTTTCGAGCAAGAGTATGCAAAGCGTAGGCTGTAAACAGAAAAAAATGTGTGATAATCATAGATTCAAATCGTTGAAATATCTCGACCACATATTTGTGTTCAGGGAAGTACATCTCATGGGGATTTGGTTTTGCTTGCCTTCAAAATGAGATAGTAAATGTAAACATGCATTTAAATTTATATTTTCAGAGCCTAAGACCCCAGCCCAAGAGAGCAATGGCAAAGAACATAAAAGCATGGACGACATGCCTTTGTTCACTCTCAAGCTCACAAAGACCAAGACGGGCAACTGGATCATGGTCAAGCCCAAGAGCGAAGAGTCAGATGCAGGAGAAGAGACGTCTCCCCGGAAACCCAACGTCGTGCGACGAAAACGTGTTTCGACGCCACGAAAAACCAAGGCAGAGATCTCTCAGATTGCCCATGGTATCTTCGACTCCAGTGACGATGAGCCGCTGTCAGAACTGCGAAACAAGCAACCAATCAAGAAGCCAGCCTCAACGCAGGTTCTTGCATTGGAAAATCCCAGCATCTCGGAACTGGAGCAGAAGCTTACTCGGGTGCACAAGCGGCGGAAGAAGCCGGCCGACGGCTTTCCACCTCCAAGCAAAAAGCGTAAGGTAAGGAAGTGAACTTGGGGAAATACAACAAACCCTATCGAAGAGAACTGACTGAAACTTAAGAGTGAAGAGCTTGTTACAAGGTGGTAACTTGCAAGGAGCTCTGTAGTGAACATACCTGCAAAAGGTTTTGAAACAAACAAATGTATGTCACAGCCCTGCTTTCTATACAGTACATGGTGTTGTAGCATTTAAAGCTCTTGGCAATGAAGGAAATTACAACACTTTTAGTGCAGCTAAAATTTCAGTGGGCATTTTTTCTATTTATCTGTGTAGCATTCGTTAATTCCCGTTTAAGATGATGTCATCTAGCTGATACAAGGAATACATTCTCAATGAAAAACGACTGAGAGGTAGAGTATGTTTGAATTATGCCACTCACGTATACCACGCGTTTGTTTCCCATTAGCCAATGCAGCACTCACCGAAATAGACACTGATTGCACAATAGTTTCACGAAGCACACCAGTATGGTTGCTTCGTGGAAAACTATCTTCTAAAATCTAAATCAGGTGAGATTTAACTTTCCTTCCCATGTGACGAACGAGCTCTGTGGGTCATGTAAAAAGGGCTCCTGCTTGATATTGGCCAGCTGGAGATCTCTGCTGTTAATTGAAACTATGTTCATACTGCTCTACTCATTAACTCAAGAATGTTTGATATTGTCCAGGAGACCCATTTGAATGCACTGAATGACCGACAAGTGATCCATGTGTGCCATCACTGCTGCCACCGAATAAAGATAAGAAAAGGCAACTGAAAAGAGGAGTCTATGAAGTAAATATAGAAAGCATTTAGATTTCTTTGCTCTAAAGTGCATAAATATTTTTATGTGCTATCATTGTTATATAAAAATTAAAGACGACAAAATCTGCCTCCAAACAGCAGGTAGACAGAACATGCCCTAAGTAGAAACTTAGGTAGACAATGAGGTAGAGTAAGCATTTCAGTGCTCTTGAACTTTATTATGGTTTTATTTAATGTCCATCTAACTTTTTAATTTTTTTCTATCTACATACACACAGTGCACAAGGCAGGAAGCAACAGGCTCTTCTAAAAAGGTAATAACTTGTAAGAGCCTGTCATGTTGCACCATCATCATTGAAGAGTTCTGAAATTCAAAGTAGTAGCTAATGCAAGATATGTTTCATATTCATCACATTCAATTGCTTATGTACACTGGCAAACCTTGTTGCCTTAGTATGGAGGCAGCTTTAAAATTAAGATATAAAACATGAGGTAACAAGAAAAGAGGAAAAAATGTCATTTGGAAAAATGAGCTTATTATACTTAGTTGTAAATCACTGAATAGACTGTGAACCATGGTACACTGGTGAATTGACAGGTTATTGTGCATGCATACAAAAGCCATGTAGAAAATAGCCACCGACTGGATAGCTGCAGAGTATGTCTTGCTAAGTCGTCTTGTGCAATCACTCAATCGCTATCTACAGCAATCTTCTTCTCTGGGAATGTTTCACATGCAGCTTGCATTTGTGTTAATATTGTCCTCATCTCATTCATAAGTTAGCCACTTCATGGGTGCATTCAAATAGGGTTCTTCACGCAAGACTTCCAGTGAATGAAACAGTGTGGATTGAGACGCCTTAGAAACTACCAAATGTCTTGCCGCACGACCACGTGACTTAGTTCACTTTGATTGCTGATGAAGGATGGAAAGCTCTTGGCAGCAAAGGAAATCACAACATCTATTGTTTTTGTTGCTTTTGTAGCATTTATTGCTTCTTGTGCAAAGAAATGCCATCTAGCTGATGCACACACTAGGAACACTTTTTTCAATGGAAGGGCAGAGAAGTATAGCGTGCTTGGCTTGAACCATGCGTACATGCCAAGCACATACATTAGACTCTCAGTAAACGGAACCTGAAGGGACCGGAAAAGTATGTTCTATTTAACAAGAGTTCTACTTACTGAGAAGTGAACAAGAGAGCAGAATACAAGCTCTACACCAAGCATTACAGAGAAAGTGGTTCTGTTTAAGCAGTGGTTCCATTTAACAGATTTCCGTTTACTGAGAATCTACTGTATTTTAGTGATGCAAAACTGTCGATGGAAAAAAAACTATCAATAAGGCTATATAGGAAATTCAATAGTACTATCAAAATCATTCAATACTTTCACTGGTCAGAAAGCTGCATCGTAACCTTATGGGAGAGCTTTGCGCTGCAAGCGGAGGCTACAGGGTAACGTTGCATCTTGTTGGGGGCATCGAACAGATGCGGCCACATACATTGGCAATTCACCGCATGTTTTTCATCGTATGTTTGGTGTTATGGGCGTTGGGTTGAAGGTTGAAAAGGATGCCACGCACATACAGTGTACATGGGTGTTCATTAGTTTACAAACGAAACGACGAAAAAGTGTCGATGTTTTGGCTACTTCGAGAACGAATGGCGGGAAAAGTGGAAGCACGCTATACCGCGACAAGAAACTGATGGTTTGACATTTGATCCCCGGCAAGTGTGTGTGTGTGAAAAGCACTTCGATGAAAGTGGGATCTTTCGTGTGAACCAGTGGCTAATCAGACGAGTTGTTGAGAAGATACCGCACGATATTCCGAAACTTTTGCCGAACGTTGTGCTGAGAATTTTTCACGGCTTCCCAGCGTCTTTGCCTAGTGCAAAAAGATGCAGAGCTCGCCCGCGTACCAAGCATCGCCGTGACTGTTGAGGCTGCATCAACACTGTGCATGAGCCCCTTTGACATAGCTGCCTTGGATAATTACGTTGTTAATGAAGGTGAGCATAGTGGCTGCCTCTTCCTTGTTGCATGCCAGTAACAGAAGCTTGATGATTGAAAGGCTCTCCGTTTTCTTTTTTTATACAGGCACTGAGATGACCGAAAGTGTAGAGGTGACATGTCAAACAACGGAGCTACATGCAGCTCCTCACAGCTTTATATATTCAAAGCGCACATCCTGTCGCATGGAACAGAGACTGAAGCGTTACCAATTCAAGCTTGCTATGGTGACGGCGCAGGAGAGGATGCACCAAAAAGCTGTACAAAACTTGCCTAAGCTTTAAAAGCGTCGAGAGTTAATTTTTATATCAATTTGTCATGAGAATGAGAAGATAATTTTTGCGTCAAATGTTCACATTGCCCGCACGGGTCGCAGTCTGTCAATTTTCTACATTTGAGGAGTCATGTAAGGCTTTCACCTTTATCAGTAAAAACAACAAAGAAAGACAGGGAAAAACACAGCATGAGTAAGCTACATAGCAGAGTAAAGGACCGAGAAACTACATTGCATGGCCAACCGACCTTAGAATGTGTCAAGCACCGTAATAATAAATCAATGCAAAACAAAACACGAAAACCAGGCAAAAGTCGCATGAAGTAATGCTTAATCCTCATCACTTGTTAAATTCAAAGCACTGATTCATTCAAACTGGCTGTTCGTTTGATAAATACGAGGCTATTTTAAATATATATCTTCGTATATGAACGCTGAATGAAAAATATATAGCCTGAAAGGTTGGATATGCGCTGTCAAAAGTTGCAACCACTGCCCTTTCATGACGCGTTAGGAACCACCAGAGTTGTTGAAGAACCTGGAATTGTCCACAACTTATCACTACATGCTTCAAAAAAAAAACAGAAGAAGAAGCATGCTTTTATAGTAGTAAGATTTCGTACACTGTAATCGGCACGCAGACAAATTTCTAGCTTCAGGGCCTCAATCCATGCTAAGTTTCGCTGTATTAAAGACTTCCATGAATGTACTTGAAAGTAACGTCACTCTGATTGATCGATATGTGGGGTTGAATGTTCTAAAACCATCATATGATGTGTGAGAGTTGCCGTGGTGGAGGGCTCCAGAAATTTCAACCACCTGGGGGTTCTTTAACTTGCACCCGAATCTCAGCACACAGGTCTTCAGCATTTTCGCCTCCATCGAAAATGCAGCCGCCGCAGCTGAGACTCGATCCCGTGACGTGCGAGTCAGCAGCTGAGTACCTCAGCCACTAGACCACAGCAGCGGGGCGTAACATCACTCTAAAGACGTAATCAACCTTCACGGGTACATTTAATCACGTTTCACAGTTCCGGCACATTCTGTACAATTGCAGTGCCACGGCCACTCAGATGCCCCACTGTGAGCGAGGGCGCCCCTAGAGGTTTCTCCTGTCCCTATATCAAACTTGTGCCGAAGCTTCATGACTAGTAACTGTATTGAAGGACTCTGGTACTATCAATAGTATGAAATGAACCACACAAACTGATTAAGCGTTCAGGCTGAAGGGCAAGAAAGGTGGCATGTTTGTGTTCCTTCACCGGAATGCTTGACTGACACATGATAATTAAGTTGAACTGTTCAGCTGTAGTGGAAAAAAACCTTTTACATGTGGCAGGTAGCAAAACGTTGGAGCTCCAAGTTAATATTGCATTTTGTGATATCGGAAATACATATATCAAGAACTAAATCTTAATTATTAAGTTTAACTCGTAACTTATGAATATGAAATATTATGAACATATTTAATCTTTTTTGCCGTGCAAATGATTTATTTCTTTCACTTAAAAATTGCTGATAAATTAAACAAACTAAGTGTTGCTAATAGCAGGATGTCATAATGTTTTGGCAATATCTTTGGTCAATTATTGACATCATTATCAGTTGGGCTATTCACAATGCTATTCGTAGTTTTTTGTTAGCGTTTCTATCGATAGTTTCTTTACATTATCGATAGTTTAAATAAAGAAAAGCTATTGATTGTCTGGATAGTCAACTTATGATTGGCTTTATATTACTTGTATGTTCACTCAAACCAGTACAATTCTTTTATGAACTGGAAGCCTTTCTGCAATATAGTCCCACAATACACACAATTGAAAGAATGCTCACTACATGCACTCCATTTTGTTTAATCAAAATCCACTGAGCTTTCACATTTGTCTCTATGCATCACATAAACGGTGAGGGACACTCTAGTAAAGCATTCCTATATAATTTAAGCAAAACTTTTTATGCACTATCATTATTCTTACAAAAGTATGAAGAATGTATTAAAATCTGCCTCTAAACATTAGGTAGACAGAACATACTCTAAATTGAAACGTAAGTGGCCAGTAAGGTAAAATAATCTTTTCAGTGCTCTAAGGTTTGACTGTGAATGTACGTAATTTCATTCTAATCTTTAAACCTTTTTCTATTCACATACACACAGCGCACAAAGCGGGAGGCAAAAGGCTCTTCTAAAAAGGTAACGCAACTCCAGGAGCCTGTCTTCATGTCACACTGTCATCACATGAGGGTGCTAAAATTTGAAGCAGTAGACAGCATAAGATGTTCATCTTTCACCATCATCAAACTTCATAGTCCGTGTACACTGGCAAACTGAGTTGAAGCAGCTTCACAATCGAAATAAATTAATCAGCAGGTAACATTGGAACAGGGAATCTCATTTGGAGGGAGTAAAGATAACCCATCTCTGGCAGCAGTATTTAATAGGTAGGTTGACCAACAGCATTTATGGGATACTGGGTAAATCACACCATTGTTCTAGCCCATCTAATTCACGTAAATAAAAGTTGCACTTCGTTATGTGTGTTGTGATAAGCCTGCATTGTTATGAGATACGCCAAAGAGCTGCACTGCATCATTTTAGACTGATAAAGCATTTCCTGATGCTATTTACACATATTTCATGATAAATTGCCTCTCTGCACAGTGATATAGTGGGGCAAAATGACAGTTGATTGAATTGACAATGGGATACCTATCAACCATGACAGAATGGGCTGTAAGTCGGGTGATTGTAGCATGATTCTTGAGATTGGGGTACTGTCATAACCACTTTGCACACATCTATGACGACGTCACCTTTAAAAGCACTTCATTTGCAGCTTGTCTTTAAATAGGTATTTTACATATTTGATTCAGCCGCTGACTAGGTCACAGATATATTCAATTATATGTATGCTCAGAGAATTGTTCTCAGTTAATGTTATGAGAAAAGTCATACCTGTGGGCACCATCCCACAATACCATGCTCGTACGATGGGAAGTACGCTAATATATAACCATAGTCCTTGTATTTGTTTGAGTAACAAGTGATGTAAAGATACATAATCCATAGTATGGTATTGTTCCAAGAGTTGAAAACATATGTAAAAGAAAGTAAAGGAAGCTATGCTAGATAGCGTTCTAATGCCTTACAGCATTTTCGTTTGTGTTGTGAGGCGAGGTACATGAAAAAGTTTACAGGACATGTGTTGTGGACTCCTTTTCTTATCGCTTGTCTACTAGTGTGCTGCTTCAGTGCAGTCAACTCGCCTAACTTACCATCTTGAATTAATGCCTTACATATTCACAACCCTCCATCTGAGGAATATGCGTTTCATCTAGATTCAAGATCACATCTAGATTCCTTTGTCATATTGTCATCTCCAGAGTGATACTGATGCAGTGTGCTAGCAGCAAGCATTGCAAGCAATGCATGCATATATTACTTTTGTTCTTTGCATACCATCTAAGCTACATTGAGAAACTAAAATTAAGCCCTTTGTGTAATGAGCAAATGTCTTTTTCTACATACCACTCATATCATCGATCTCGTATACTAACATGAACTTTGCTCATTTAGAATTACTAGGTTCAGCATACTCGGATGTTGTCGAATATATTCTTATAAGCCTGGAAAAAGATGCCACTTTTTTGTTTTTCTGTGTTAAGTATTAATCATGTGTTTACAAGTGCTACAGAAAAAAAAATTTCAATAACCATTCTGTGCGTAATGCAGCCAAAAGACGTTTCTTGCCATTGATCGGTCTGTAATCCATAGCTATGAATTCTGAGAACTGATTATGTAGACATACCTTTTCCTTCATCGTGATTTTCACATTCTCTCTTAAAGGGACACTAAAGGCAAATAATTTATGTCTGCGTGCAAGCTCAGTGTATGACAACATTTAGAACAGCAATATTAGCAGCTGTGCCCTACTCCCTCAGAAGCTAAGCTAAATATAACGCATGACGTGCACCCGAGTGAGACATCTTGTAAATGATCCCGATGACTTGAGAGCATTTGACTGCTGTAAGAATACTTTGAGACGCCCAGTTAAGGCAACGGTTTAATGTTCTGGACAGCAACGAGACAGCAGCCGGTCGTTTCGGCAGAAGCAGCACGAGCCTCGTCAACAACAAACGTCGTCTTTGTCGTTGCTCCAGCAGTGCCCGTATTTGTCACTACAATGACTCCCCGGTCGAAAAGGAGCCATCCTGGCGACCTATGGGACAGGCAGGACTTGTGGGTTGTCGGGAGGTTTCAAATGGTCAACGTGCACAGTTTCACGCCCGTGGCATCGTTCATCTGTTGGCGGCTGAATGGGCTCAACAATGTAGTTTACTGGCGATGTCTGGCGCGTGATCCGGTACGGACGATCATACTTGTGTATGAACTTAGAGGAAAGGCCGGGGCCAGATGATGGCACGCGGAGCCATCGGGGCGTATGACGAAGGAGATGAACGTCGGTCATCAGTGTGCTTCTGGTGAGCCTGATCGTGTGTGGTAAGCGAATGTGCGAGCTGCCGACACGATCGTCTTACCGCCTCAGCGTAAGTCAGATGTGCGGAAATAGACGAAGGATGGTGTGTGGGAGGCAGAGCATCAGAAACTTGCTCTTCAAATGTCTTGCGGTGCATTGGGGTCAGCTTGTGTGCACTGGTCGGAACGTAGAGCACAAGAGACAATTGGCGTGCCACTTCTTCTCGAACGAACTGCTGGATTTGCTGCATTAGCGTGCTTTGTTTGGAGTAAACAGCGCGAATGGTTAATGCAGATGTGCTGATTATGTCGAGGTTTGGAAGTCGCATAGAAATGCGCTCTTTCCTCAGCTCGTCGTAACTTTGACAGTGCTGAATCAGCTGGGCGACAGCTAGGGGGTTTTTCGCAACAAGCATGTGAAAGGCGTCGTCCTCGATACCTTTCATTATGTGCCGTATTTTGTCAGTATCAGACATGTCGGGATCGATGCGACGGCAGAGGTCCAGAACATCCTTAATATATGAGGTGAAGGTCTCCCCAGAGCGCTGTGCGCCACCGCACAAGCGCTGTTCGGCGCACAGCTTGCGAACAATGGGTCGGCCGAAGAGTTCCCCAAAGCGTGTCTTAAAGGTTGACCAAGAGGGAACTTCAGCTTAATGGTTGTTAAACCACAGCTGGGCCACACCCGCGAGATATAAGTGAAGGCAACCGAGCTTATCTGTGTCATCCCACTTATTGTGAACGCTTGCCAATTCATACTGGGACAGCCAGTCTTCAGCGTCTTGGTCGTCGGTCGCGGTGAAAATCACCAGATCTTGCTGTCGTAGTGTTTCGGTACAGGTAACAGATGGGATTAAGACTGCAGGTGGCTGGGTCATGTCGTCAGGCAGCGGCGAGGCGGGAGGTTGAGGTAGAGTCCGGGAACAGAGTTTCATGTTGAAGAAACCAGCACCTCCATCAAATGTAAGAATACTTTGAGTGGCCCAGGTAAGGCAACCGTTTAATGTGCCGGACAGCAACGAGACAGTTTGGGCAGAAGCAGCATGAGCCTCGGCAACAACAAACGTCGTCTTCGTTCTTGCTCCACTGGCGCCCGTATTTGTCACTACACTACACATAATCACTAGTAATCAAACTAGCTGTAATAAAAAAAACACCTTACGTGTATCAAGAGGCGTAATAAAATTCTGCTTGTCCGTTTCTGTTTGGCTTATAAAAAAAAAAACTGCCTGGCGTAACTATGGGGAATGGCACAAGTGGTTCAAAAGTTCCGTTTTTGTCTGGTTAGGCTAGATAGTCTTACCACGAGCCATAAGAGACTGGAATGCCTTAGATGAATTTATTGTTACTCAGCCTTCGCTAGAATTATTCTCTGAACTCGTGGAGGAAGCTATTTGATGTGAACACGTCACTCTGATTATTGTTATTTTATTGTGATTTTTCTATTGCTGTGGTATGCTTGATGTAATTGCTTACTGTGTGTAAATTTAGAGTGTGAATTTTTGTTTATACATGTAAATGTCTATTTCTTACAGAGCACATAATTTGCTATTCGCATTACTTATGTACATTCATCTATAAATTAACTCCCACCCCTGTTTAGTTATGAGGGATTGGCAGTACTTAAAAATAAATAAATAAATGAATAAATTAAATAGCCAGTGCCTTCTAGCGGGGCCCAATTCAACCAAACAAGCAGAAAATTGTTCAGTGGCCGTTGCTGTGGCTCCCACTACTTTTGCTCTGCTGCTACTAGTGTCAGCGGAAGCGCAGTAAAGGCGGGCAAAATTCAGCATGGCAACAGTGATGTGAAAAAGACCGCTATCAGGCGGGTGATTAGAAGTGTACTAACGAGATGTAGACCACTAATACGAGATTTTATTTCATGATAAGCACTTTCTTGGCACAAAAGTAGCATTACGAGGTTCTGGACCGCAAGTTAAACAATTGACGTCGACTTAATGTTTATCTTTAGTGTCCCTTTAAAGCACCGATCATGCTGTCCCCTTCTTTTCTTCCACAGCCTGCAGCGAAACCGACCTCTGCTGAAAATCCAGCTGTGGCAAAACTAAAACGTTGCATTAGCACTGCAGGGCTGAGAGTACGCTATGTGCAATTGCTTGAGGAAAGTGATACAGTGGAGCAGAAAGTGGCGAAGCTTATGAAAGTTCTCAGGGACGCCGGACTTCAAGGTGAGTTTGCCTTCCTATGTGCTTGTGGCAGTGGTACCTGATCACAGCCCCTGACACCTGACAGCAGCCATTTGTTGCAGCTGGGAAGTTGGGGCAGGTGTGACTGGTTTCATTGCTGCTTACTTTGTCCGAGCTGCGTTCACCGTACTTGCTAAAATTCATATATTTTTTTAGGGGCGAAGCTCCTTAAGGCGTGGGCTGTGCGTCCCCTGTAGCCTGTATGTAGCCACCTCTAGTTTAGTTCTTGCAGTGTTCACTAGATGGCGGTACCGTCCCCTGTATGTAGCCACCTCTAGTTTAGTTCTTGCAGTGTTCACTAGATAGCGGTACCGTCTCCTGCATGTAGCCACCTCTCATTTAGTTCTTGCAGTGTTCACTAGATGGTGGTACTTGTAGCTGATGATGAAAAGATGCAAGATGTTATAAACTAGAAAGCGGTACTTGTAGTTGATGAAAGACGCGAGATCTTATAAAATAGGAATGATGTCACATATGGCGCGTGTCATTGGTTGAAGGCAATCGTTCGATTTAGTGCGGCGACGTACGCTAGGGCGAGCGTTGTAATAAAATCCGTTCGCTGTTGGCGCGCGCTCGGAGTCGCCGGATGGATAAGGCTGCACAGCGGAGAGAGCGCAAGGCAACAGCAGCGCGCGCTCGCAGACAGAATCCCGATGTGCGAGCGCGCGAGGCAAGGGACATCGCAAGCCATCCATCGTCTAAGAACAAATAAAAGTTGATTTGTGTATATACACACACAGCGTTTCTCACGTCTTTACATGATGATCGACTGGGCGAATTACACGGAAGATTCACAGTTTACCGATGAATCCCTCCGGAGCTTCGCCCATTCATCATCATTCACCCCGTGAATATGCCGTAATTTTTTTATTTTGGAAACAGCAGTGCATCAACATGTGGTTTTTTTTAGGTGGACTAAGGTTCTGAAAAATGGAAGAAATGTTACTGGTGCCTTCAAATACAATTGAAATTCAAATGTAGTCATAAGCTCAACTACTAGAACCCGCTTTTTCGTGCACGACCATCAAGATAAGTTATCGACTCGTCCAGTAGTTCATGCCTTTCTCTTCCTCATTTCTGCTGTTATTGAACGCCTGCGTCAGAAATATAGTTTCAATTCAATTCAATTTGAGATTTATTTTTCTGTACGTGCAACAGAAAAAACGAAGCAAAAGCAAAAGGCTACATAGCCTGACGGAGGCTTTTGCTCCGAAATACAGTCTGGCAAAATAAAATAAAATAAAAACTAAAAATAACATGTCATACACAACTTAGCCGCAATTAGAGAACATCATTATATACAGATACAATTTGCAAATTCTGATCACACATGTAATCATCACAAATATAAAGAAAGAACAGGACAGTAAATAGTAATGAAATACCTAAAAAAACATCGCAATATATACAATAAGTGAGGTAAGGAAAGCATCTGGAGACACATACATTCCTAAGCACCTTGAACAAACAATAAGCAAAAAAAAAAAACAACAACAAAAGGACACAAATAGTGTACTCTAAGCAATTGGGACACAGAAAGTAATAAATAATCCAAATTTCTGTATTAAGTGTATTCAATACAATTATAAAGGAGAAATTCCTTGAACTTATTTTTGGAAGTTTTCTTATTTAGGTCAAGTACGTCACCCTGTTTGTTGAGGAGACTCGGTATTTGATAATCAATATGTTGTTGACCATAGGTTGTTCTAGTTTTCGGTGTTCTTATACTATCTTCAAATGCATAACCCTGTTTCAATAAAAAATCCAAGAGCTACCTAATTAACATTTTAAGACATGAGAAGCAAAGATCACAGTCATGTGGCTAATTAATATTTAGTAAAAGTTTATGGCTTTTTAAATCATGAGAAACACTGCCATGTGAAGCTGTGGAGTAATATTTCGTAGAAGTATCGACTTTCTATCATTGGTGGCTCAGGCACCATTGTTGACAAGTGACAGCGTTATGAAATCTAACTTGTTTTGTTTTGCAGTCTCAATAATTCATTCTTGTGCATTTTCACAATTTGTTCAGCTATTCAATCTACCGCGATGCGCGACATAATGGGTGCGCACGTCTAGAGTTAGAAATCAAGAGTTGTTGGCAACTTGTTAAATTTATTCTCGTTGTTTATTTATTTATTTATTTATTTATTTATTTATTTATTTATTTATTTATTTATTTATTTATTTATTTATTTATTGGTACTGCAATCCCCTGGAGGGATTTTAGCAGGTGGGTACAAAAGACGTAAACATCAGCATATAACACCAGGCAAACAGATAGAACAGCCTATCACATTTCACATAGTGGGCAGCCATGTAACACAAAGCAAACAAATAACTATCACTTGCGTTTTACAACGTAAACAAATGTAACAAAATTTTACCGATGACACATCACTCTCATTTTAAGAAAAGAAAACAGAACTAGCACACAAGTAAAATTATTTTCTCTGTTGTTCCAGACCAGCGGCAAAGGATATTAAAGACTGTGTTGTGAATTGATGGTTATTTAAACTATTCCAATCCTGCACAGTTCTGGGGAAAAAAGAATATTTGAAGCAGTTATTGCGGGTACGAAAGGGAGTTATTGTACGATCATGGCGTTGTCTTGTGGCGTAACCTGAAGAAAATGAAATAATTTTTCTAATATCTATCTTGTAATGCCCATTAATTATTTGATATAAATATTTTAATTGGTATATGCAGTTTCTTTCTGAAAGTGAAAGTAAGTTAGCTCTTACTAACAGTTCATTTACCGAGGTTCGTCCATAACTGTTATATATGAAGCGTACGGCTCTTCTTTGTACTTTTTCGACTTTATGAATGTTAGTTTGAGTAAATAGATCCCAGATCACTGCAGCATAGTCAAGTATGGGGAGGACTATCGATTTGTAAGCAAGAACACGGACAGATGGAGGGGAGAGTTTCAAAGTCCTTCGTAAAAAGAACAGTTTCTGATTAGCCTTGGAAGTTACTATGTCAATGTGTTTTGTCCAGTTAAGATCATTTGTTATCCATAACCCAAGATACTTGTAGGATTGAACCTCGGAAAGAATGGCATTGTTTGTAAAGTATTGAAAATTTAATTTATTTTTCATATGAGAAATGGACATACACTGTTTTTTCAAAATTGATGGACAGTTGCTAAGCCTCGCACTAGGAAACAACCCTGTTAAACGACTCGTTTAACAAAACTTGGTCCTTTGAGGATTCTATTTCAGAATAAATAACGCAATCGTCCGCGTAGAGCCCTATATTTACAAGTATACCGTTTACTATGTCGTTAATATAAAAAATAAATAGAAGGGGACCCAGAACCGACCCTTGGGGGACGCCAGAGTCAACGGAAACCCTGTGAGAGGAATGATTGGTAAAATCTACAAACTGTTCTCTGTTTTTCAAGTAGGGCGATATCCATTTAATGTTGATCATTCCCGAGAATTTTTTCTAATTTGTATACTAATTTATTGTGCGAAACCTTGTCAAAAGTTTTCGAAAATCCATAAAAATTGCATCTGTTTGTTTTCCATTATTAATTGAAATAGCGAAGTCGTGTATTGTTGATACCAATTGTGTCGTTGTTGAAAATCCCTTCCTGAATCCATGCCGATGTTGGTTTAAGATACTATGTTCGTCCAGAAAACATGAAATACTATTGTGTATAATCTGTTCCAAAAGTTTACAAATGGTTAAGTTAGCGAGATGGGGCGATAATTTTTTACACTCTGCTTGTTGCCCGATTTATGGATAGGCTTGACTCTAGCTGTTTTCCAGTCGTCTGGAACCTGGCCCTCACGCAACGATTTTGTAAAAAGAACATGAAGGTATTTCGACATCCATTCAGCGTATCTCTTTAAGAACGCATTAGGTATATTGTCCGGTCCAGAGGACTTTCTGATATTAAGGTTCACAAGCATGTTCAATATGCCCTGTTCACTAACAACAATATCGGCCATTCGCGGCGAAACAGTTTCAAAGATCGGTAATACAGAGTTGTCACAAGAAAAAAACCGATTTGAAGTGATCGTTGAAAGCATTTGCAATTCGAGCAATATCGTGCGTAAGAATACCATCGACATTAAAAACGTCACACTCTTTCGAAGCGGGCGAAATGCTCGTCCAAAATTTCTCGGGACACGAGGTCAAGTAATGCAGCAAAGATTCCCCAAAATAACGCTGCTTATCTGTTTGAATTTGATTTTTCAGTTTTACTGAAAGCTTAGCTATTTGTTCTGAATACGCTACGTTCAGACTTCGTTTTTTATTTAGACGCTTTATTTGCCTTCTTAACCTCAGTGTTATCCGAGAAATCCACGGATTTTTTTTGCTTCGATTTTTTAATTGCCAGAGGCACAAATGATTCAATGCATTCTTTGACAATGTCCTTAAACCAGTTCCATAAATTATGTATATCAGTTTCATTATTCGCAAAGTTATCAAAGTTGAATGAAAGGAGATGTATAATAGCAGTATCATCTGCACGATCGAAATTGGGGAAAGTTAAACAGGGCAATGTCTTATCGAACACTGTGTCACTTAGAGTAAATAGCACTGCATGATGATCGGAAATTCCTGGATATATCTCAGTCGTTGCTTTAGGTGTAATTGCCTGGTTATCGAAAAAAAGGTCTAGGGTTGACTGAGTGGTTCCTTGAATTCTTGTGTAGCCTTCAACTAGCTGAAGGAAGTCAAAAATGTAGCAAATATCAAGCATAGCTTCACCCGAAGGGTCGCACTGCTTCAGGGCAAATTTTTTCTAATCTACATTTGGTAAATTATAATCACCTGTCATTATAATCCGGTCATCATGCTTAATATTCAGTTTCAAATAGTTTTTCAATTCATTCAGTACTTCAACAGGAGCATTTGGGGGCCTATAAACATCTCCTATAATGTAACGGACATTGTTGTGATAAGCCTTACAAAAAATACCATCTACTCCTGGCACATCAGCCATTCCACATATTTTTAAGGTTATCCTTGAAAAGTACACAAACGCCACCACGTTTATTAGCCCGGTCATTTCTGTATGCGCTGTAGCCAGACGGAACAAATTCACTATCAAAAACCGAGTCGCTTAGCCACGTTTCCGTCAAGACAGCAATAGCAGGATCACGAGAAAGTATTAATTCCTATAATTCAGTGGCCTTATTAAGAATGCTCCTACAATTTACAGTTAGTATTTTTAGTGTGCCATAGTGCTTGTTTTTGTGTCAATTAGATTTAGTTATCTACTGCTGTTTTCATCAATTAGATTTAGATTAGTTATCATAGATAATAGATAAAAAAGATTGTTTTTCATAGTCGACTGCACATTGGTGATCTGAGAGAAACTCGCGTGGTAAGTGTTGAATGATCTGCTTTTATATTGCTTGTATATTGGCTGTATGACATATAATTGGAAGTTCGTGCCTATCCTGTGTACATGTACCACCTTCCCTTCTTTGTATGTGTTTCCTGCGCTGCTCTTCTGTAGTTTAAGTACTATAAACCAACAGGCCAAAACTAGTGTTTTCCGGCAGCCATAGAAATGTCCTAAGTGTGCATGCCATGGCTCTTCATACTTGCAGCGCTAGTTTTACTTTTATGTCTCCTGCTTTCGTATGCATGCTTGGAGGCTGAAGTGATGACTACTTGTCTTTCATTGCAGGCAATCCAACATTGAAGAGCTGCAGGGAACTGAGGCAGAGGCGTGAAGAAGAGAATGAAGTTCGAGGTCTTGACAAAAGCAGAATTGTCGAAAACTCTCAAGGTATCAGAGCATCTGTTTGCTGTTCCTAATGCAAAGTGTTATCAATGGTCGCAGCAGCAACTGTTGTCATTTGTGGCTCTTTCATAATGTGTGCACTTACGCTCTAGGCACTTACGCTCCAGCTGACAAGCACCATTTCCTTGGTGATTTTATGTAAAATAATGCCTGTAAAAAGTAAAAGTTGCATCGAAACAAAGATATCCAGTAGGCTTGTGCGAATACCCAATTTTAGGTTAGAAGCGAATAGTGATGTAGGCTCAATAATTTCAAATTGTATTAGAATATTATATATATCGCATATTTAAAAAAGGGGGGTATATTTGTCATGACCCAACTAACCTGCACAATATTTTAAACATTAAAAACAAGACCTGGGAACATGCCATTTTTTTTTGTTCAATGGAAGTGGAGAGAACTTTGAACAGTAGCAGGATCTGACTTTCAGTAGAATGCGAGTGATAACCTGTAAAATATGTTACATTTTATAATTGCTATACTTAGAGCATTTAAGCTAGTATAACAAGCTTAAACAAACTTGAAAAATAATGAATAGATGAGAGGGTAATATGTTGATTTAACCTTAATGAGGAGATTTGCAGCTACGCGGATTTCCCTTGGATAAATGCTTTCATGGCTTAGCACCACTTCACTGCAGTGAAAGCACCTTTACATTAGGTTACATGCGAACTAATATACAGTTGAATAGGTGCTTTTACTGCTTAGCACCCCTTCAGTTCAGTGAAACCATGTTACAAAGGGCTACATGCGGATTAATATATCCCTATTCGTTTGTTTTGAATAGTTTGAAATTTTCAGCAAGTTTAATATTGAAGTGAAGTGAATTCATATACCGTGATATTCATTCGAATATGCAGAGCATTTGAATATTCGCACTAGCTTAATATCCGGACAAGGAAAAAGTGTGAGGTAAATGGGATGTTTAGAGTGATCGGAAAGCATTGAACATGGAGCATTGCTGGGGCCAACGTGACATTTATTAGACTTGTCTTCATCAGTACTGCAGCTTTTTTTCTCGGCACTGTTTTTATGTATGTCTTGCTCACTCACCCCGAACCTGAAATCTGGAGGCTGGGAAAAATAAGCTTGTTTTCAAACTTAGATAACACTTTAAGAATTACGAAAGGGAGAATTGCCATTAACCTGTCTGTATAAAAGGAAAGTACAAAACAAACTGGAAAGTTTTTTTTTCCAAGAAAAGCACTGCATTGGAAGGAACAATTTTGCATCTGTGGGGGTCAAAATGTGGTGTCATTGCCTTTTCTTAAACAGCATTTCTCATTTATGAGACCTTATTTTATTGAGAGGAGGCAACAGGAACGTAGTGTTAGTTGCTTGGCGCATGTAAGTGATGCCCCCCCCCCCCCCCTCTATTTTTGTTTTTCAAGTAGAATGACTGTAAACTAACCATGCCTACGCTTTTCTTGATAGAGATTCTTCTTTACAGCACCTTCCACACAACCTCGACTCTGAAAAAATGCGGTGACTATAGTACTAGTTCTCTTCTCTTCATATGATGGTGAAGCGTAAGCCTATAAAAACAGCACAAACACAAATAGTACGCAAGGAGAGAAATCGATAACACTAGCGCTTCTCTTCTTGTGTCTGTTTGTCTTAACTGTTTTTCATCCTCCACCATGAAGCAAGTACATCTAGTCCAATTTCTGGTTCTGATTAATCATACTTCACATAAATTTCTTGCCCTCGGTACTTAAAGTAAATGAAATATGTATTGAAAAACCCCCGGTACTTAAAGTAAATGAAATATGTATTGAAAAACCCCCGAACAGGCTCTGAACATCATTTGTCTTAGTAAAAAGTGGAGGTGTGTGAATATTCAAGAACTTTTAATAACAAATCAAATACTTTTATTCAAGTCAGTACTCGAATCAAGTAGTACATATTTGAAATACTGAATATTTTTCTAATAGTTTTCGAATAATCATCACCAATAGAAGAAATCCAAGACAATAAGACATTGTGAAAACTGAAGGTCATTTTTCTGTTTTAATCACTGAATTACCAACTTACTACATGTAGTCCAAGCTTTTTTAAGCTATAGTAGTTGAAGGCACTATCGACACTATAGTTGGAGACGCATTGACATTTCCCTAAAAACTCTCACAGTTTCTACAATGCTGTAGCTGCATCGAATTAGTCACTTACTCTCTTCATCCTGTAATAACTGATGACAAAGACTATGACCACAATTGGCTTCACAAACGAAAACAGAAGCGAATGTTTTGTTTGCGTTAATTGTTCTTGCAGATACAGCATCTGACACTGATGTTTACATGCTTTCGTTGTTGAGGCCCATGTTGTGATGACAGCTTCATCTCTTTCTTTATGCGCTTAAAGTATGAGGTAAAGTGACTGGAACAGATTTTTTAAAAGCAATATACACTATAAATTATTAGTCTGCAATATAAAGCACGTCTTTTTAGGCACATGTGAGCATTATAAAGCAAGTGATATTTTATGTTAATTTTTCATAATTAAAATTCATTAAAGTATGTCTTGTACAAACATTCCTAACTCAAATTCTGCTCGTTGAAAACTTCCATTTTTTGCTCGCACATATAAGAAGCTTTGGCCTGTGCAATGAACCAAAACAAATGAGATCTGATGGATACTAAGGACAGTAATTAAATAACCAAAAAAGTATGCACTAACACGAGCCAGGGGTGCAACAGGGGTGTGCCAATTGTGCCAATTTGATACAGTTCCCCATTTTTGCGCCGAGCTGCGCCAAAACCATGAAATGATATCTGCCGAAATTGCGCCATGCTGTGCCAAAATGCCTGTGCACTAATTTCAACAATAAATGAAGGCCACGTTGGCCACCTGTGGTGTGCATCCTGAATCAATCCAGGAATATAGGCGTGCCGACCCTTACCTTAAACTACGGCAGGACATTCGCGAAACGTGATCGACCTGTGCGCCCGTCTGTCCGCTGACTGCAGTGCATAAAAAACTAAAGCTGGAAGCATACGCCGCTGTTACTGTGTGCGAACCAACTCAACATACTGCGAACACCAGCGTTTCAGCAACCACATTTAGTTGCCATAGCAATGGCACATCCTATAGATAAGCGGTGCCGTCACAGGGCCGATAGACGTGTGTCGATGTTACTTTATCTAGTCAAACGCGCCTTACAAGCGTGTTTGAATAGATAACGCTTGAAGTTGTGCCCTGAAGCTAACTTCATCGTGAAAAAAAAAAAAAAAAGGAGGGGGGGGGGGGGGGTGTAGCGGTTCGAAAATGTATTGGCCTTGTTCTAACCATGCAGAATGTCTCTTTGAGTTACCCTCGCGGCAGTACACTGTTGACGTGCGGAAAAGCGTTTTGGGTTAGCATTTGTCACGGAACACAGCACAGTTTATTCAATTACTCATGCGAGAGTACTAGTATGATCGTTGACATCTAAAAAGGTAATTGGCAATTGTTTGGAGCACTGTATAACATTTGTGCAGCCCTAAAAAAATCAAACAAAACTGTGCACCAGTTTTTTTTTCCCCCACCCCTAAAGTCGCCAGCTTGGCAGATTCACATTTGAATCTGCATAGTATGTCAAAAGATTTGAACAGCTTGGCAAATGCTAATGTGGACTTTATCATTGTTTGCCGAGTGGGGTGGTTCAAAATAGTTTTATTGAAATAGAAGTGTTCATATTCACGCTGCACGATTTAGGGGATGTTGAATAGTTTGTAGATATTTAGTTTTTTGTGATAAAAAAAATTATTTTTTTCCTATAACCTGTTCTGAATTTGGATTTTAGTGCTCCAAAAGTAACATCGTGCTGCTCCAAAAATTGCTCAAAATTTCATTTCGGCTGTTGCACCCTTGCACTAGGGGCATCTTTGTATAACAGGAGCCAATGTAAATTTCGTGGCACGATTTTGCTCATTGAGGTTCATTACACGCTTAATATTGTGATAAGGAAGTGTGCCGAGCTTTAATAAAAAATAATAATTAGCAAAAGAGCTATGACTGTTCGTGTGCGGAGAAATATCAGAAATATAAGTTCTGAGAAAATTGACAAAATAAGATTTGAAACAGGTGCAGTGATTGTACTAAATGCTTGGGAGAGCTAAAATTTTCAATATTTGTAGCCAGTTCTATTGTGGACCTTACTATAATGTGCCTCTTCTTTAGCGACAATTCTAATTTTTTTTTCGAGCTTGTTTTGCTGCAACAGTGACATGACAAGTTGCTCTCACGCAACACTGCTTATCGCTTGCGAGGCACACTTTTCCAGTGTAGGGGTCAGGCTTCATCCCAATTTGCTTTAAAAAATATGAAATGTGCTTCTGTTACCATTGTTGAAATCATGCACATTGTCAAAGAAAGCAAATTTTATAGTTTACAGGCTCGCATAAGTGTCCTTGAGAGTGAAAACATTTATTATGTTACGCGTTCACCTGGTCAAAAGATTATGACTAAAAATGATGTGTAGACAGTGCTTTTAGAGCATTATTACATGTTTTCGTTTGATAAAACTGTTAAATAACCAACACAATACTACATACCAAGCTAATCTGATCATTGACGCAAAATTGGCACTTTCAGTATCGGTTTTGTAGGTGATCGGTGGTCGAACATTCTTGCTTGTATCTTTGGAAAGAAACTACGTTGGCCAAAGCTTTATGCAGCAAAATGACGGGCAATAAATTGGCCATTCAAAAAAACCACAAGCCATAAAACGACATTTTGAGGAAAAATTGGCTTTTTCCGCTTAGCTTCATAGTATTCGTGGCGTTCAATTCCGAATTTATGAGTTTTAACCTCTCAGTTCTATTTAAAAGCAGGGGACAAAGTATCAGCTTGATTAGTGTAGCCACTGCTGTATTTCAACCTACAATTACACATTATATCGGTAGAAGTGAACTTTTGTACGACCAAAAATTACCACTTCTTGAGTTTATGGCTTCGTGTGGTCCGAAGCATAATTTAACTCATCGTAGGCAGTTGTAGATGTGGAA